CGTACTGACGACACACCCGTGGCTGAGGGAGGAGGCGCGAAACTCCTGCGCCGGGGCAGGGGGTATCATGCATGGTTCTGCATCTGGTGCTGAGGGCGGTGGGGTCAAGCCCAACCTGCTGCCCAGGGGAGGGGGCGCAGCCGTACCGACGGCGGGGTCATGTGAGGGACGCAGTGGCAGGTGGGCTGGAGCACACTTACCAACGCAACCGTGCATATGAGGTTTAAACACGAGATGTGTCAGCTGTATACCAGAGAGCATTGAGTCTGGCAGCCTGCCTGGGGCCTTCCCCCGTGTGGCGAGTGACTCGGACATGCTGCCAAATGGTATGCCTAACGTGAGAATGACGAAGATCGGGCAAAAGGGAGTCGAATGGTGCTATTTGGGGGCGATTTTGCAAAGTTTACAGCATTGTCGTACAGCAAAAACGGTACGACAGGGTGGGTGGATGGGTCCGGCACCCCTTTCTTGACATTCTTAGCATGGGGTTTGGCAAAGACATTTTTACCCCCCCCCCCTTGGGTGTAACATAAGGAAACTGACAATATCTTGCTTGATAGGCAGCGGGAAGCCAAGCGTCCGGCGTCCGGGGTGGCAGGGGTAGGGAGGGCAGTGTATGTTGAGGGTGGCTGAGAGAGGGGTAGTAATGGATGTGACGAAGAGCTGCAGCTGCAACCCGATTGAAGTCCTCGGGCGACTGTGAATGCGATCACAGATATCATGGGAGGAGTACCATCTGGCAACAGCGGCGAGGTACGGTACCAGTACACAGCAGCCCCACGGTGGCAAGGAGGTCAGTACGGCATTGCTAAGCGAGGAGACAGGACCGGCGCATGCTAAACATATATTGAGGCCCAACATGTTGGGCAGAAGCGGCGCAAACAGTTGGGCCAGCCGCACGATTTCAGCTCTTCCATGTTCATGGTCTATCTTGAGGATGCTAGTGGGGTGGCTTAATGCAATATAGTGAGAAGTAGCTTTGATGACATTTATACAAGCTTACAACTGTGGCAACCACGGACATAGAAGGAGGCTGTTCGGGCTGGAGAAGCGGGGCCGGGGGTGGCAATGGAACGGGGGTGATGGTTGGAAAAGGGGTGGCAGGGACATCGTCAGGGCGGGCCAGTGAGGCCGGGGACAGGTTCTGCTCCCGGAGTGAGGGTGGTGGCGAAGACAAGCGATGGCGGCAGTGGCTGGGGAGGATACTGCCCATACTGGGACCGATGGCAGGGCGGATATCAGGTAGGGGTGGAAGAAGATCTGGGAGGGATGGAGCAGGAAGCGGGCTGTAAGTTGGTGGTGAGGGCGGGGCGAGGATTGATGGTGGCGGCAGGACGGGGCGAGGGGGTATGGTGAAGGGGAAGACGGGGCGATGAATGAACTGTTGGAAAAGGATGTTGGGAGTGTTGGCAGCTGGGTCAGCATGGATGGTGGCGGAGAGGTTGAAGCCCCTGGCTTGGGGGAGAAAGGTCTTTCAGTGGCTGCAAGTGTGTATTCCGCCGGGATGATGAATGGTTGGACAATGTGATGTGCAGTAAGGATGGAGGGAGAGAGTATAGCATTGTGCAAAAGCGAGGAAAGGAAAGGTCCGACTGGGTTGAGGGCCACCACCAGCAGAGTAGGAGGGTGCGAAGTGGGTTGGGAAAAGCTGCTGGAATTCGTTACAGTATTTAAGGAGAAGGTGCTAATGCATACGGAGGTGTGACCAACACACGCTAGGGGGTAGAGGAAGGTATTAAGGCAGTGCTTGCTTCTCAATGGACATCAGCAAGGGGACGATGGCAGGCCCAGGCAGGCTGTTCATAAAAGCGACATACCAGGTCCCAGGTAACAGTCACGGTAAACATCAAAGAGTTGGGACCGAGAGGTTGGCTCTCTGGCAGCGCAGAAAGCCAACCAGGACGAAGATTGGCCACCCATGACGCCGTGCAGGGCGGCCACAGTGACGGGCCGAAATATTGCCTTAGGCATAGGGCTACTATGTGCGTGCCAAATGACTTGTAATCATGCTGCCAACTACGTACTACCAATATATCTTGCTACTCAATATTACCGGTACTTATAACTGTCAAGCGCAAGTTCAAATGCAAGCTTACTAAGAATAGCATAAAAGGATAGGATAAGGTAACACTGACGACATAACTATGCGACTTGGCAAGCACACAGTGCAGTAACCAGAAAGTTGCACACACGCAAGTCCAATCTCGCATTCAAAGTTCATTAAGATGTCGTTTATATGTCCCATGTCAGTGCGATTGCACATGAACTGGAACCCTTGGGAATAAGGTAACGCAAGTAGGCACGACCTTACCCTGCTCAGCACGCGCACGACCAACAGTGCGGGCGCTGCGAAGACGGCGCCACATTCCGTACATCTCTGTTGAACGCTGTCTTACGGTGGCGTCTGTCGGTGGGAGCGAACGGTGTAGGGGGAAAGCGAAATAGTGGTCGGCATCAGCATGCATCAAGGTACTTGGCCACTGAGCCTATGCAACCAAGCGCACCAGCGGGAGCATAACAGGCAGCATTTTGAGGACATGTAATGTAAGCTCACCGCAGACTGACCTTTTACAGGAAATGTTTATCGCCGCCACATCATACCGGTAGTTCTAACTTCGCCCACGTTGGCAGGAGTGAAACAGAGTTGCAACTAGGGTGTCTCTCATAAAGTAGGGAAGCATTCTGCGTATTAAAGAGAACATTGACTATTACGAGATAATTACAAGTTGTAAGGATCGTACTTCCCAGACAAGCCAAGAGGCTCACGGTAAATGATCACTAACGGAGCTAAAGTACTTCACAACAAACTTCAGCCGGTTGTTCTTTCTTCGCAAACGATAGGGTCTTCGCCGCGTCCAAATAACTGCTTGCTTCGTCCTCCGTGCTACAGTCCACAGAAACCCCATGCAACCCGAATTCGTGCGCATCAACATGAACTGGGCATTTAAGGGGAATGCTCTTCATCTTCCACCGCACTCGTGCTACAGCCCTGCAGATTCTATCACGAGCTCTACCAAATAAGGCTAAACCCAAGTGCCCAAACACAAAGGCGCAATGCAGCCCGAGTAATCAACCCAAGCCCTAGGAGTAGACAAGCTTTGGGGTGAACATGAATGAGGAGTGGGAGATCGTTGTACGGTGAAGGCCTTCTTGCCGTATCTTTCTTTTTTCCACATCGGAAAGAAGCCAGGGCAGCAACCAGGCGCCGCTGGAGACCCTCGGCGCCGCCAGAGCCGTAACCTGTTCTGCGGTTCTGGCCTGTGGGTCATCCCCTTTTGAGGGCCACCGAGATAGCCACCGCTGTTACAGCTGCAAGTGAGAGATCCGCATGCACGACTGTGTGGAGGAGCGGACAAATGGGGCCCAGGCGGCGCCGGTGGAGGTAGTCGCAGTAACGGACATCTCAGGCGACTGAGACGGCTGCGAGGGTGTCCTAGGCGGCAATGCTGGCAGATACCGTATGGCCGATTGAATGACAACGTCTCTGCGTGAGGGTCTCCCCCAAGTCCTGAGCACAGACGGCGGCGGTTAGCAGCGGTTGGCGGCAGCGGTTGCTGTGGTGCATCCCGGTGCTAGTACTAGAGGTTTCGGGGCTTGTCACAGGATGGAGCTATACCTCAAGGTCCTTCGTACGGACGACACGAAAAAGGATGAAGGTTTCCAAAGTTGGTCGTACGGCAGGGATTGGTAGGTGGTTCCGGAGCCCCAACGACTTTTTTCTTTGGCCTTCGAAACGATTTTTCTAGGTATCGTTTCGCCAATCGGATAGCAGATTTAGTACTCCTGTTACAGTATACCGGTATGTGGAGTTTGCGGGTGGCATGTCCACATGGAAGACCCTAGCTCGCCCAACAGACACAGTATGGCTTCTCCAGAGGCAAAGCAAACAGCAGGGACAGGGGCTAAGGTGGAAGGGGCCCAAGGGAGGAACCAAACGAGTAAACTCACAAGGTTAGGACAAAGTTGAAGGGGGAGGGCACGCAACAGGCGTACTGTCGGCACACCCGTGGCTGAGGGAGGAGGCGCGGAACTCCCGCGCCGGGGCAGGGGGAAACATGCGTGGTTCTGCATCTGGTGCTGAGGGCGGTGGGGTGCAAGCCCAACCTGCTACCCAGGGGAGGGGGCGCAGCCGCACCGATGGCGGGGTCATGTGAGGGACGCACTGGCAGGTGGGCTGGAGCACACTTACCAAACAACACAACGTGCATTTAGGCATTACAGCAATGCATGTGAGGTTTAGAAGCGAGATGTGTCGGCTGTATGCCAGAGAGCATTGAATCTGGGGCGTTCCCCCGTGTGGCAAGCGACTCGGACAAATGGTATGCCAAATGGTATGCCTAACGTGAGAATGACGAATGGTGCTTGTCCGGGGAATTCTGCAAAGTTTACAACGTTGTCGTACAGCAAATGCGGTACGAAAGGGTGGGTGGGTGAGTCCGGCACCCCTTTCTTAACATTGTTAACATGGGGTTTGGCAAAGACTTTCTCCGTGTTGCAGTCGAAATTGCCAAATACTCCGTCCAACGGGCCTTCCTGCTATCCAGGGCTCGCCTTGCAAGGATATTAGTAATTTGTGGTCAGTATTCAGCACTGAAATGCGCTTTCCAGGTAGTAACGTAACTTGTGCCACGCGTGTAGCAAGGAAAATAGCTCATGCTCGCCCAGACTTCAAGCTAGCGTAAGAGCATCTGGCATTCGAGGTGACGCCATATTATACCTGTATTGAACTTAACTGTTACTGCTTGGGTAGGTGAAGATGTTCGCGTGCGGTGTTGCCCAGCTATCCATGCGCTTGCCCTAATCGTCGACGCTATACTCTGATTAACTGTTTGACCGAACTTGTGAGCATGTCGATTGGGCGTTTTATGTTTGTTACCAGTGGAGCTGCCCTAACCCACACGGGGATCGCCTCTCGATCGCCACGTCGTAAGGAACTTCGAGTGCGTACGGCACATGGTTAGCGTCACCCAATACAGGAAGCACCGCCCACAATCAATATGCAGAGCGCCAAATGGTTATAAGGCAGTTCCAGTATCTGTGATAATCTAAAAACGTCTGCCTGCTCACTTCGGCTATAAATTTAGGCGCAAGGAAGCCCATACTAAGGATAGTTTATGCCCTGTCCTTGACTAGTAAGTGTTTTTATTTTACTATCTCTTTTGTACCGTTTTGGGGCTCGTCCCTTGGCATTGGCAGCCTAAGCGCGACAGTAAGATACCTTTCAGGGTCTTCAGCCCAGCAGCAGCCGGCGTTCTTGTCAATATGGATGGGCCACCTGGGGGAGAGGCTGGCCCGAGCGGCTTTCGCAATTTAGAGCCAACCACCCGCGAACAACGCATGGCAGCGCGTGACAAAGACGCCCTTGAAAAGACGCGCCTACAAGCTCGGCGGAGGGGGCCCCTCAAGCCGCCAGAAAACGAGGTCGGCAATCCGGTGGTGCCACCGCGGAACGCCCCGGCGTACTGTGATGAGTTCGACAGGTTCAATCGGGACGTAGCGGGTGAAGCGCACCAGCGGAAACAAATAAAGCTACAGAGAAATGAAGTGGGTACTACCGCCCCCGGGGCTAACTGGGGAAAGGGTTCGCTCGCACCGAGCATGTGACACCTGGGGTGACAAAAGACTAACGCATAGCGTCATGCGTGTCGTTACTTCTCAAGGCACCCGTACCCGTTTCACACGCCCTAGCACTCTCTCCCACCTCCTTTAACTCCTGTCACTCTATACACAGCACGGAATTCCTTCTTCTTCTCTCTCTTCTCCACCCCCACAGGAGGGCATCCTCGTCTCCTATCCCCATTGCTTTGCCCTAAGTTTTGGTTTCCTGTGGTTTGGTTTGTTCTTCGACCCCCCAGGAGGTCTATACCGCCAAGCGCACCGCGCACCTCTCCCGCGAGCGCGGCGTGTGGGCGGCCGACCAGGCGCTGCAGCAGCGCGAGGCGGACCGCTACGACTCCGCTCGCGCCGGCGGCACGGGTGCGCTCCGGAACCGCGGCGGGCAGAGCTACGACATCATCACCCTGGACCCGCTGGCGGGCGGCAGGGGGCAGGCGCTAGCGGCAAAGGTGGGAGGAGGGGGGGCTGGGATTTGGGCTGGGAAGGGCGGGGCATGGAGGCTGGTGTGGGGCCATGGGTGCGTGGGATAGGGGCATGCGAGGTTCGGCGGGCCGGCGTGGACGAGTAGGCGCGTGGGAAGGGTCCGGGGCTGCTGGTGCTTTTGGAGTAGTTTTGGCTAGGGCGGTTGGCATGGGAGGGTCCCCAGGGGCGGTGATGTGCAGCTGGTGTTCTGGTCTTACAGGTGGCATGACTGTCGCATGGTTGTTAACAACAGGCGCCGTTCGGGCGTCACATCGGACTAACTGTCGAGTGGCCCTCAATCCACGCTCCCGAGTGCAGGATGTGCCGTACACCCTCACCACGATTACGTCATCCCGGGCCCATGTGCGCTGCCGCCCTGTGCCAATGAGTGGCCGCATGGCGCCAAGAATCCCGCTAACAAAGTTGCAGTTACCTACTCCCATCCCTCCTTTTTGACGTCTCGTACAATGCCACATACGCTGCAACGGAAACGTATACCTACACTTCCCCCTCAATCCCTACCGCTCGCCCTCCCTCCCATCCGTCCCTCGCCCACCCCTCCCAGGAGTCAGCCCAGTACGACAAGCGGCAGGAGCGGGCTGCCGTACTGTACTCCCGCGCACACAGCGTCACCCACAACATCATCACCGGGGAGCCCATTCGCCTGCCGGTGCCGGTGAAGCAGCAGCCGCAGTGATGAGCAGCAGACAGCAGTGGGCAGCAGCAGTGAGAAGACAGCAGCAGTGGATAGCGGACAGCCGACAGCAGCTGTAACCGCACGCCTTGCAATCCCCGCAGTGAGCGGCAGTGGGCGGCACTGAGGAGCAGCAGCAGCCGGCGCAGCAGCAGCAGCAGCAGGGGGTCACGAGGTGCTACAGCAGCATCCCGGACCGCATGGGAGCTCGCAAGCCTGCACCCGCTGCACCCGCTGCTGACCGTGGTGTCCACCCATGTTGCAGCCCCTAATCGCACGCCTGCAGCAGGCGTAGCATGGCCTGCTTGGGGCGCAGGTTGCGCCTTGCATCGTGTTGCGAGGCGTGAGACGAGCTCCGCATGAGCGCTGGGTCGTGTCGCAGCCGGCCAGAGGGACGTGGCGGGAGGCAAGCCGCCGCGGGCTAGCCGGCTACGTTGGGGCCAAGCCAAGCCAAGCTGACACACATGGAAGCACTCCCGTAGGGAACTTGGCGGACTGCGGATGGAGGAGGGGGGCGCCTGCGCTCGTTGTGCTGCTGCAGCTGGTGACGATGGTGGCGGTGCTGATGAGGTGATGTAGGTGACGTGGGCAGGAGGTTGTTGGAAGCGTGGCTGGCTGCATGCACGGCCCTGGCAGCACAGGCCTTGCTGTGCGGGAAACAGCCAGGTCGTCTGACGCAGCGATTTGTACAAATATGGCTACTCCCATGATTCATTATTATTTATGTTCCTTGCGTGCTTGCCTTTCCGCGCGTTAATGAGGTTGGGTATGTCCTTCTTGCGCTGGTGATGGTGGTGGTGCTGATCAAATCACGGCGGTCCCTCCTACTGCCTCCGCTGCTGCTGCTGCTGCTCATCCTCCCTCAGCTGGCAGCGGAGGTGCACGTCGTACAGCCCCAGCGAGCCGAACAGCAGACCCTGGGGTGGCGGAGGTGGTAGTGATGGCAGAGGATGAGGAGGGCGGCAGGGGGCCGGGGGTGGGTTTGGTTGGCAGCATGCCGGGGCCTACAGAGGCGGGAGCCTACCGGGATGTATTAGCATGCAAGGTTAATCGGAGTGATGGAGGGTGCATGCCGTTCAGCATGGCCAGTCGCAAGGTTGCGATCCTTGCGAAGTAATGAGCGGGGCCTGGCTGGACTGGCTGTTCAGCGGATGGCATTTTCTTACTGGACGGTGTAAGGAAACAAATTTGGTTGTTCATACCGCAGTGCTCATTTCAGTTGTGCTGCCGGCTGTCCGGGAAAAGCAGCAGCATGAGTCGCTGCATGGGCAGCAGGGCGGCCAGCCGTATGGGCTGCCGAAGCAGGAGAGGGGCCGACTGGGCACTGGGCACATCGGGGCTGCGGCTCGTGTACCGATGCATGCCAAGGACGCAGCCATGCGGCTCTGCAGCGTGCAGGCTGTAGCTGTAACTTTGCAGTGGACTGCTTCCCTTTGCTTTCCGCACCCGCAGTGTCGGCGGCCCCATGCAGCAGGCGGCTGGAACCCCTCCCCCCCCGTTGACAGAAGCAAAGCACGCACAGCACAGCGCCAACCTCCCACCCCGCCCCCCTACCCACCCTCGCTCCCGCCAGAAGCGGCGGGTACCCCGGCCCCAGCGCCCGCCGCACCGCCGCCGCCGCCACCGCCGAGTGGGCCGCCAGGATGAACCAGCACACCTGCTGGGCTGCATGCTCCTGGTCTGGGGGGGGGAGGAGGGGGCGAGGAGGGAGAGACAGGATTCGCAGGTGCGAGGGCAGAAAGAAGGGCAGCGTTGCCGGATTCTTGAGGATACTGCCATACCGGTATTTGCAAAGGATACACCTAGGATCAGGGAGTCGAGGTGCATGGCGGGGATTGACTGCGATCGTGGCAGTTCCTCCCTTCCTCGCCGCACCTACCAGCTGTAAGCACCCCAATGCGGCTCCAGTCCCCAGAGAAGCCAGCATCCACCAGCGCCAATGTGAGCTGCAGCGGTTGCAGGTGCCGTACAGCGTAAGAGCGCACCAGAGGCAGGTGGGAGCGGGGGTAAAGTGTACGGCTGTGCATTCTATTGTACATCTGTGCACCGCACCACGCTGGCAGAGGATGGGAATCCCGGTGGATGTCCTTCACATCCACTAGCACAAGCTAGGCTTACCACAACTTCTATTGCCTGGAGCGCATTGTATGCCCCACTGGGAATGGATCTGCAAGAGGCGAGAGCAAGCCTCGGCGGTGGGTTAACTTCCACTTCGATTCTTGCGGTTTGGTCGACCGACATGCCGACATGCAAAGCTTCTTTTGTCGCGCGTCTGAAGACAGGAAAAGGCGCACTCACATGTTCGTGGGCCACAGCTTGTATGATGCAGGAGCCGGCCATTGATCCTCCGGACCGGCCTTGGCAGTGGTTGAATGGATGCTGCTAGCATGATTTCTGAACTTCTTAACCGCGAGCGGCCCTAAGCTGGAGATAAATGGTTGCCTCGCCGGCGAGCAATAGGACTGTCGATGACTGCGTAAGCTAGCAGAACGGGCAATAGTAGTGTGCATTGTAAGCTTGCAAGTCAGCGCTCCGCACGGAAACTAGCCAGTGGAACTCGGTTTGAAAGCGCTGGGCGAGTCTTATTAATAACGTTTACTTTTAGTTGACACTCGATACACTTGCACCGATCTACCGTACTATGCTTGCGCAGTGCTTGCCTGGCCCAAATATAGTCTTGTCAGGCAAGAGTACCATCACAATAGCAAGCCGCTGTTGCAGGAGTCTAGCAAATCTTAACCAAAACGCCGCGTCAGGTGGCATGCACCCACTCCCAACGGCCTCCCATCACTCAACCTAACCGCAGGCCGCTGCAGGCCCAACCCCGCGCCGCTCGCCACTCCTCGCAACAAACTCACCAATAGGAACCTTGACACGCGCGCATCAAACGCATAGAGGTCCGAAACACCCATGCTTCTGGCTCACCCATCCCAAAAGAAGCAGACAGCATGCCCGATACACCGCTCACTCAACCTTCTTACGCGCCCTCTCATTCCCCGTCCGCACCCCCTCCCGCCCCGGCTCCCTGCCCGGCTCCAGCAACCACTGGCAGACCTGCATGTAGGCAAACGCCGCCGCGAAGCCCCCGAACGCCGCCGTGATGAAGGCCCGGTCGTGCAGCCAGGGCAGGTGCGGCGGGGCGGGCAGCAGCAGCCGCGCCGCGTGCAGGGCCGCTGCCGCCGCCAGCCCGCCGGCCCACAGCGCCCGGCTGTGGCGCAGCGCCCAGCCAGTGAGGCGGAGCAGCGGGGAGGTGGCGGGCAGCTGCGGGCAGGAGGAGGCCTGCGTGCGGAGGGGTGGGGGGGAGGAGTGGAATGGAGGAGTGAGGGTGGGGCGGGAAGGAGCGCATGTAACCACAACACGCTTCTCAACATGTTACGATTCCTGACCAGTAAGTTATAGAGTGGGGCCAGGGAGGATGGTGCTGCGGGCCCCAGGTTGCCATACCTGCAGCTCCCGCGCGTGCTCCATCGCCGTACCCGCCACCACGCTGCCGTACAGCCCGCACAGAGCGGTGTACGGCAGCGCCAGTCCGTCCCTCTGCAGCAGCGGGAACATGGAGAGTGCTGCCAGCAGCGGCAGCCAGGCTGCCAGGCCGGGGTGGCGGCCGGCCAGCAGGGAGAGGGGCAGCAGCGGCAGCAGGATGGACTTCTCGTGCACCTGGGTACGGCGGATGGGGAGGGGGGAAGTTATATAATAAGTGCAAACAACTAGAGGGGGGAGGTGAGGGGAGGTGAGGGTGCGGAGGAGGGTGAGGAGGATGAACAGGGTGGCGTGTAGAGGTACGCGAGTTGTTGATACTTCCAGACGTCTGCCTCAGACCCTCATGTCTCTCTGCTCTTTTCATATCCCTCCCATGCCCCCCCCGCACACCTGGTATGAGAACATGAAGAAGGCGAAGCCCGAGTTGGCCATGCAGCGCAGCAGACCCCACCGCGTCGGACCCCCTGCCCCTGCCCCTGCCCCTCCCCGCCCCAGTATCTGGTGCGTCATGGCGGGCGCCGCCGCAGCCAGGGTGGCGCCCGCTGCCGCCCGCAGCAGCACCGCCCCCGTGAAGCGGGTCTTCCACTTGAGCGGCCCCAGCGAGGAGGCGCACCACCAGTTGGCCACGTAGTCCTCGAACAGACCGCGGCGGACGGGGAAGATGCGAGCGAGGACCTGGAGGGGGGGGCGGGTGGGGTGGGGAGTGGCAGGGGTGGGTTACCGAAGGGGAGGGAAGAGGAAGGCACGGCGGCATGCGCTGCCGCCCCCAACACGCCGCCCCTCCCCTCCCCTCCTGCCCAACTCTCACCTGCGCCGCCTGGCTGACCGAGCCCAGGTAGGGCGCCCAGCAGACCGCGAAGGAGGCCAGCACGGTGGCGCCCAGCTGCGCCACCGCCGCCGCCCGGTCCGCCGCCCCCCTCCGCCCCCGCCCGTGCAGCGCCCAGCCCAGCAGGTGCGCGAAGAAGGCGGGCGCGAAGAACAGCGACATCTGCTTGTGGTTGAGTGCCAGGCAGTACAACACGGCACCCAGCAGCACCAGCCACCGCCGCTCGCGCTGCTGCCCCTGCCCCTGCTGCTCCTTCGCTCCCGCTGCTGCTGCTCCAGCTGCATCCTCCTCCTCCTCAGCTCCAGGGGCTTCTCCTCCTCCTCCTTCCCCCCCTTCTCCCCCTTCACCGGCTGCTGCCCCGCTGCCCGCCGCAATGGCCGCTGCGGCCGCCAGCGTGAGGCCCAGGCTGATGCCGTTGTACTGGAAGTGGCCGTGGTCGATCAGCAGCACCGCGGGGTTGAACAGCAGCGCGAACAGGGCCAGCGCGCGGGAGCGGCGGCGGCGGCGGGCCTGCGCGGCTGCTGTGGCTGCTGCCCCTCTCCCTGATGCTGTGTCCTGCCGACCGCTGCGGAAGCCCGGGGAGGAACTGCCGTAGAAGACGTGGACGGCGAAGAGGCAGGCGGGGATGTAGACTGGGCGGAAGGGAAGGGAAAGTATGGCAGTGGGGACCGCTTAGCATGGATACAGGAGAGGGAGTGGCCGCCATACATGCATGCGCTCCCCACTGCCGTACATGTATGTGTTCCCTGCAGGGCGGCACAGAGAGACTCTCCCATCGTGTCTTTCCCTTACCCCTCCCTGCGCCAATAACCCCGCCAACCCGTCTTCTCCCTCTCCTCCTTCCGCCTCCTCCCTCTACCTCCCCCTCCTCCCGCCTCTCCCCCGCCCGCCTCTCCCGCCCCACACCCCCACCCAGCAGGTCTGCCGCCAGCACGGTGGCCCGCATAGCGCTCTTGGAGGCGGGGCTCTCCCAGCCGTGACTGCTGAGCAGCGCCACGGCAGCCGGCTCCACCGACCGCACTAACAAACCGCACAGCCAGCTCTGATGACGCGAGGGAGGGGGAGCAGGGGGAGGGGTCGGGGGAGGCGTTGGTGCCGGAGGGGACCCGCTTGGGAGCGCGGGCGCACACTGCTGCGGTGGGTAGCTCGGTGCCCACACGAACCGGTCACTGACTGCTTCATGGCCGCCCCAAGCCCCCCACCCCACCCCACCCCGCACCGCACCTCACCTGGTACCCTGACAGCGGGGGGTAGTCCAGCGGCCAGTAGCTGCCGTTGTTGACCGGGGAGTCGGTGTACCTGGGGGCAGCAGCAGCAGAGGGGGGGAGGGGAATGGGGAGGAGGGCGAAGGTAGAGAGCTATGTGCTAGAGGCGTCAAGGACAGCGAACAAACAGGATGTTTTGGGATAAAGGACGCTACCTATTGTAAGCTGGCCTTTACCCTAACAAAGGACTCTTGCTCACCATTCTCGGACGGGCAAGTTAACAGTTAACTCCATCCAGTGCCGTTGCGCTTCATAGTCTCCATATTTGGGTGGATCACCAGCTCCTGTAAACACACAACGAATTATGCTTTGCCTTGTTTATTTAAATCCGACGTGGCGACGATCTGCTCCATAAGGATCGAATGCTCCGACGGAGGCTACGACAAACGCACCCGAATAGGAGGAAAGTCCAGTTAATACCCGTACCAGAACAGCCAATAGCACAAGGACTGATGTGGACGTAACATCCTCTCCAACATAGTCTAGCAACCCCATGATGGTTGCGCACTCCTCCGAGTTAAGTGGTCAGCAATAATTTGAAGGCCTCATCTCATAAGCACAATTCGTCCAAGTGGACCGCCACGACGTTTACGTGTGGACAATGTGGCATAAGCACGGCGCAACACTACGAATGTACGAAGGACGTTTGAAACCGCAGCTCCGAAACCATGGGTAACACGCCAGATCCCTCGACTACCGTGCTCTGCTTGTCGCAGGTCTGTCCTTGACTTTCATGGCAGGCAACCCCTGGAGAGTATGGAAGGTACTACCTGGTGTTAAGGAATCCACCATGCCTGCCCGGGATCGTATGTACGACCTCATGCTGGGGCGTACATGGACCTTGCTTTTGCCCCGTGCCCAGTTCGCATCCTTTCGCTTTGCAGCGGGCTCTCACCTGATGTGTGTCCCCATTGCCCTTAACTCGACAAGTGTTGTATTCTGACTGTGCCCGTATGTACCCCAAGAGTCTAACCCCACTTCCTGTGAGCCTGTCGGTAGGCAAGTCAAGGCCTCGAAGGGAACGTCCGAAGATTGCCACCTTACATGGACAATGAGAGCTTCACAGAGCAAGACCCTTCATGCTTGCTTTAGGCCTGCTGCATACCGTAGATGCACTAGGTGCCGCATACGGGCCATTTAGAACCCGGGCGGGACTAATAGCACGTCACGTGCGTCAGCTGCACAGGGTTACCCGTCAGCCGCAACGCCCCTATTGTGCGGTACCGCTTACCGATAACTTTCAACACACTGTGAATGCCGTTCAGGTTCGGTCACCTCTGTTTTGTCTGTTTTGCCTGTACTCGCGGTTCACATGCGAACCTATCCCAACTGCTTGCTCTTGTCCTACTCAACTACACACTGTGAATGCCACTTGCACGCACACCAGACACCAGGATTGGGTTTGGGTGCAGGGCGCATTGGCCTTCCCGTGCAATAGAAGTAAACCAGGGAACGTAAGGTATCCACGTCTGCTTTGCTATTCAATGCTCGTGCATGCTCCGCTGCTCCCATGGGAGACTGTTGCAAGCTTGTGTCAAACGGTGATTTAGATGGCGCCATAACTATTGCTTCTGGAACACAGGTAGATGTCATGTTGTGATACACGCCGCTTTGGTCCTCTTGGCCCGGTCCAACCGGTCGTCACGACGACCAGCGTAAGCCATACCTACAGAACAGTACAGGTGGATTAAGGTATGCAAAATGCTACCATTTGTAAATCTATAGCGCTGTTAAGGGAGTTGCTATGCTGTATTTCTCATGCTGTATGGGCTTGCACCGAAACTCTAAGCCAGAGCTTGGCTCTCGCCCAGGTATTATTCCACGCCGAACGTTAGCACATACCAATATAACTTTTAATACTACTCAATCCTTTACACAGATACCTGACGTTCCGCGGCACAACCATTCTTGTGTTATAGCAATAATGTTCTTCAAGCTGCATACGTAGTATTCATGTTCACGTCATAGATGTATCATCCAGAACTTGAATTGGCCGTTGTGCCAGGCTAAGCTAGTAGAACCCTGGACAAACATTTCTTACCACCCCTCGGTTCGCCAGCCAAAATGGATTCAAGGCCGGGATCAGCAACCTCATATGCGACAAGCGGCGCAGCCGGGACGTCGCGGCCTTTCTCCGCGAGCAGCGCCAGCTCCAACCGGCTTAGTGGGAAGCCGATGGGCGCGGAGAAGCTTATGGCGACGTGCGAGCAAATATACAAAAGCTTCAACCCGGCGCAAGTCACTTTGGATACGCATGTAGATAACTGCATCGCGGGCCTGCAAATCTACAACAGTTTCGATGAAAGCTTCATCCGGCAAGTCATCTACGGAGCAGTGCGCTACCGGCGCCTGCTAAGTGCCTTGATGGACTCGTTCTATCATTATAACGGGTAGGCAATGGGGGGCCCGGGGTTGGGTGTTGTGGGGCAACGAACGCCAGTGTTTTGGAGTGGCGGGGAAGGGGTGCCTCGGTTACCATGGCTGCCAGGGCTCAAGAAAGTGGGTATGCATGGGATACGGTCGTGTTCGCCCCAGCATGTCCACTATTACTCACGGCGGACAATGCACAGCCATGCACCGTGTCCCTGTACCCTGCCGTCGGCTCCGCTCCCTCATGCCCACTCCGTGTTGCAGTTGCTCTCTGGTACCAGTCCAGCTCTCACAAGACGGCGTCGCCGTTACCCTAACCCCTCTCGCCCTACCTTGCCCCCCATCACCTATCCTCCTCTCCCGTCCCACCCCACCCACCCACCCCATCCCCGCAGCGGTGCCGCCTCCCGCGAGGACATCGACATGTACAAGCTGTACAGCTACCTCACCATCTTCCGATTGGAGGAGCTCACCTTCAGCAACTTCCAGTGAGCAGGGGAAGGGGGCTGGGAGCAGGGAGGGGTCACGCGCATGGGTTGCAGGCCGTCGGCGCGGGGGCATGCCAGTCGTGCAGGAAGCGGCAGCCTGCTTACAGCACCGTAGGGGGCACTGGGCTCCCACGTCCAGGAGTTGTCCCGTGCCGTCTGGAGCACGTCTGGGGTGTATCGTCATTGTAGACCCACCGCTGCCTGCCGCGGCTGCCGCAAGACATGCAAAAATTCCCGCTAGCAGCTTAAACGGCTACGAGGGGCTTTCAGACTGGGGCTGGTTGGGGTTCGGTTGCCGTCGCCTCCATCCCTCTGTCTCGGGCTCGCCGGGCGCATGCGGGTCGCCTGCATGCCACGGGGGCAGCTCTCCGCAACCGGGTCACCCATTCCTGCCCTCCCCCCTCCCCCCCTGGATTGTCAGCAACTTGTATCATTATCATACCACACTTTGGAATTTCTTTTTTCCCCCCCTGCCCCCAGGCGCCTGGTTGATGCCATGACGCCGCAGAAGATGTACGTGCTGCTCAAGTACCTGTTCGACCCCAAGTACATGCGGGAGGTGGTGCGGGAGGACTGGCTCAAGCTGTACGACAAGGAGGTGCGTGGGGGATTAATAGAGAAGGGGGCAGGGGGCAGGCGTATGTGGAAAGGCTGGGGCGCAACACGACTTGCATGCGCGGCTTGTGAAGGATGTCCAGTCATTGCTTATCCTCCGTCGCCTGAACCACGGTATCCCCGCCTCCGCCCCCCTCCCGGCCCGCACCTCCTCCCCTCCTCCTCCTCCCCAGTTCGTTGACGACGCCATCGAGCGGCTGCTGTCGTGGCAGTCGGAGAGCGCCTCCATGCTGTCAAAGCTGGAGTACCGGGTCACGCTCAGCAGAAAAGTGGTGAGAGAGGGGAGGGGAAGAAGAGGGGAAAGAGGGGAAGAGCTGGGGTAAGCCGCATCAGCTGCAGCCGCCATTGCATGGCATGCGGGTAGCCTCGTGGGGGGGGGGGGAGGCCCTGGCTGTGCCATGAGAGGCTGGCGTCCATTGCGACCTCCAATCTCCAAACAGCACGGGTGGCATAGGCATGGCACTGCAATTCCACTGCGTTACAACACCCCCTTATGCCCCTTATGCCCGCACCTCCCCCCTCCCCTTTCCCCCATGCAGGACGACGAGAAGGAGACGCTAGGCACCTCCTACGTGGCCCGGGCGCCCACCGTGCCGCAGCCCTTCAACCTCACGCTCGCCAAGCCCCGCCCGCTGCCCGTGGAGGACCCCCCGCCGCCGCCCATCCGCGCCAAGCCCGCGCCCAAGCCGCGGGAGGGGCCCACACGGGAGGAGCTGGCGCTGCAGGCGGCCAAGGAGGCCAACCGGGCGCAGGCGGAGAAGGATGCAAAGTGGGTGGCGGCCGGGGCGGGGGCCGGTGTATTAGGGCGGGGATTGCCGGGCACGCGGCAAGCCATGGAGGCCCTGCCTAACATGCACCACAGGTGTTGCGGCTGTCTCCTGACCCTGCCGCATGCGCCCCCCTGCGGTTCACCCCTGCCCCCTCAGGGCTGCCCCCTTCAAGCTGCGGGTGCTGGAGCGGCCCACCAACATCGACAAGATCCGGTCGGAGCTGGAGGAGGAGCGCACGCGGGAGCTGACGTTCAGGGGGATACGCGCGGCGCCGGCGCCACCGCAGCCCAATGCGCAGGTGGGGGTGTCGGGGAGGGAGGGGGATGGTGTTCGCCCCGCTTGCCGGACCCGGTTGGGCCCATTCCCTAACCCCGAATCCGCTTGCGAATTGCCATCCATACGCACCCACCTTACCTTTCCCATCCCTTCCTCCCTCCCTCCCGTGCCCCCTTCCCTCCCCCCCAGGTGAAGCTCAACGCGGCTGCCATCCTGCGTGAGGACGCGCTGTACCGCCGCAAGCAGGCGGAGGAGGCGGAGGAGCTGAAGCGCTACGAGGCGGGGCTGCGCGACGCCAGCACCTTCAAGGCCTGGCAGACGGCCATGCTGGAGCAGGACGAGGCGGAGCGGGCGGCGTCCATCGAGCGGAGGAGGCAGGAGATGGCGGCGACGCAGGTGGGTGCGGGATGGCCCGCGTAGTGATACCAACATACCATGCACCGGGGGCGCAGGACCGTTCGGGGCGCCTTGCCCGGGAGCTGCCTGGCGAGGGAGGAGCAGGCCTACTGGTAGTCACCGCTCGCTTGCTTGACCGCCCGAATCCATTCTGACCACCTTCTTTCGCCCCATGCGCCTCCCCCCGTCCTCCCCACCCGCAGGAGAACGCCATCCGCGCCCGGCAGGCCGCCGTGGAGGCCAACCAGGAGCTGGCTCGTGCCGCCAAGGAGGAGGCGAAGCGCATCGAGGAGGACCTCAAGCGGGAGCGGGAGGAGCAGGCCAAGCAGAACGCGCAGCGCAGGGATGCGGTGGTGGAGGCGCGGCAGAACGTGCAGGTGCGGCCGGCCAGCCAGCCTAGGTGTAGCCCCGAGTGACGGCTCTTGTCGTCATGTGCCAGGGGAGCACACCTACGCAGCGAAACGAACTGAGGCCTAACCCTGAGGCCTAACCCTGAAGCCCAACCCTGGTCCTAAATAACGCGGCCCCGCAGGCTGCTGTTGAGAAGATGTCCCAGGAGCGGCGGCTGGCTGCGGAGGAGGAGCGGCGCAAGCAGGCGGAGGACAGCCGCGCGCGTGCGGAGGCGGCGGCCAAGGAGATGGCGGAGCGGCGCGACATCATCCTGCAGCTGCGCGCGCTGGAGAAGGTGCCCAAGCAGCGGGTCAAGGAGTTCGACCCCACGGAGACGGGGCCGGACTACGGACTGCTGGAGGTGGGTGGGTGGGGCGGGCGAGGGTGGGGATTGTACGGGGAAGGGTAATGCCCGTACCGTGAAATTCGAAATAGGGAGAGAGTTTGTGGGAGCGTGGGCCGCGCCTCCTGCAGCGTCCTTATCAGCGCTTTGCATAATGGTGTCTGAAGCTCTGAGGCCCCGGTTGCCGTACCGCGGCCACCCACCTGCAGACCATGAGCCTAGTGGAGCTGCGGGAGCGGCTGTCCGTGGCGAAGCGGCGGCAGAGAGAGGAGGTGAGGCGGGGCTGGGGGCAGGATTTGTGCGCTTACCTGCATGTCGTGAGCAAGGTTACAACTTACAAGCATGCATGCATGTTATAAAGGCAACGTTGCATGGGAATGAAACATAAACATGTAGTAGTTCCGTCGCCGCAAGTCACGTTTCGGCATGGCGACGACCCGCAGGAGGAGCGGCAGCGTGCCGAGATCCTGCGTCAGAAGCAGGAGCGCGAGGCGGGGCTGCTGGAGAAGGCGGCCAACGTGCAGCGCATCCGCCGGGTGGCGGCGGCGCAGGCGGCGGCGCGGAGAGCCAGCTCCGCGGAGACATCGGAGCGGAAGAAAACCGAGGTACGCGGGGGCTGCTGGCTGCGGCATGGATCACCTTCCGCAACCCTGCATGCGTGGTGTCCGATGCTGGTGAAGCCCATCACACCCGCACGCTCACCCCCCTCCTGCCGTTTCCTTCCTTCCTGCTAACTCCCTGCTACCTCTACGGTACCTCCCTGCGGGCATGGTCTTCCACCCCCAGGCCTCCAAGGCTCGCGAGGCGGACGTGTTGCAGCTGGCGGACAAGCTGGACGCCAAGCGGGCGGCTCTGGCGGCGGAGCGGGCGCGGCTGGCGGCCGAGCAGAAGCGCACGCGGTTCGAGCAGATGCAGGCGGCGGCGGGGGCGGCAGTGGTGGAGGAAACCAAGTTCCGGGAGCTGCGGGCGGGCGCGCAGCGGGAGGCACGGGAGCGGCAGGACGGCAAGCTGGCCAGTGCGTCGCTGTACGAGCAGACCAAGGCGCGGGCGCAGAACGTACGGATGAAGAACGTACGGCAGGTGCGTGATGAATGAAGCAGGGGCTGGGGGGCATGGGGGAGTTCCCTGCTTGGGGGATTGGTGAGGGATTGGTGTCCCTGCAGGGCCAGTGGAGCGTGGTTTACTGTTTCTCCTGCGCTCCCAGTGTCCCCAATGCCCAACCCATCTCGCTCCTCCCTCACCTCACCCTCATCCTCACCTCAACCTCACCTCTCCCCCCCAGGAGCTGAAGGCCAAGGACGACTTCATGCGCGCCTACGATGAGAAGCTGGCGGCGCTGCGGCAGCAGGCCAGCGCCGACAGCGCCGTGGACCTGGCCCGCTGCAGCGAGGTGGTGACTGCGCAGCGCAGGTTCGAGGCGGGCATCCGGGAGCGCAGCATCGCGAATGCGTACAAGCCGTTCCAGGGGGGCAGCACCAGCATGCAGGCGCGACTGCAGGCGCTGGGCCAGGGGGTGGAGCTGGGGTGAGGGGGCGGGCGGGGGTGGCTGGTTAGATCGCGGTGGGGGTGGATGGTCATGGCTGGCGGGGACGGATGATGAGTCAGACCCTTGCGTTGTGTGGCAGGGCAGCGGGCATGTGGGCGCCCGCACGGGGCTCAGGCGGGGCGCTAGGGGCGCATGCGCACGCGAAGGGGTACTTGGCTTGGGGTGCGGTGCTTGGGGCAGGGGGGTGCGAACTCCCGGTATGTCCGTTCTCGACGTGACGTGACGGCATGACCCATCATATGTGCATATGCTTCTAGTATAGGGTGAGGGACGCAGTGATGCAGATAGGAGTGACCATAGTTTCTTTAAAGACTGTAAGATAGGTAACATAGGCTGACAGTGTGACAAACGATAGGTCTCAGTAGCATGTGTTGGGCCAGGGACTGGTATGTGGTTGAGGTAGCTGGGGCCAGGTGACCAAGGGGGTATATGCGGCCGGCGGTACCGTACATGAACGCCGCGGGTGGAAACAGCTCATGCGCTGAAACTGCTGGGCCATTACATGGCCGCGCTGCGACTGGGCGCTAGTGACTGGGCACCGGGGAAGAGCACCCGTGCTGCCGTGGCTGAAGGATGTAGGGTTGTCATGTGGAGTGTTGCGAGCCGGGGTGTAAAAGGGTATGCATGCCTCTTTACTATTAAGTCTGTTATCAATCCCCTGCAACTTGCGGCTGTAAGATAGGCAAGGTGTGTCCTGCTGGTTGTCTAAGCGGTTGCAGCTGCGTGCAAGTGCTGCCGGGTCGCCCTGTTAAGTTGCTGATGCTGGCTGGCTATGGTCAGCCATGGCACATGCTGCGGGTGGGGCAGGTAGACTTCCTGTCTGCCTAGCCCCTCGTTAATACCTTGCCAAGGGTAGCGGTGCAGCCCCATGCAATCCATTTCAAAGTGGACTAAACCGCCTAAGCCATGCAAACGGATATAAACGTGTTGGATGCATACGGAGGCCCTCTCGGGTGCAATCATCGACTCATCGACACGTTGATGGCAGAAGGCCAATCTAAATCCTAACATTACACCTGCGTCCGTAACCGATCGCCCTCGACATGAAGCTAGCCGGCTTCTCTAAAGCACCTCATCTATGCTTTGACTCATGTGAAACACCCGAACCGTTGTACGACTGGATGGCTAGCCCATGCAGATGGAAGTTAAGATACATACAACTGTAAGTTTATGCTTCGATAGTGAACTCTTTGTTGACTACACGTGGGCCTGGCGCCCAGAATCCTTTGTTGAATATCGCAAATATCGAAATATGACGTGAGCCACTGTATGCTATTGACGAATGTGTGTTAATATATGGCATAGACAATGATACCGTTATCAATCTTTTCTAGTGGCAATTGTTTTGAGTAGGAAAGCCTTCGAGCGCTAAAATGGAGCGCAGCAAGAGCCCTGCAAGGGCTCGCAGCAATGGTGGGCATCGCCTACAAGTAGCAAATTTCTATAGCTTGCGACTGTAGTTCGTGTGTCGACGGCTTGGGAGTGGTAGATGGGTAACTTACAGCACCCCACATGGCGTATCACTCTGCAGGCCATGGGCCCGCGTCTCCCGGGAAAGTAACTGGCCCAAGGCTGCCTCCGTTAAAGGTAAACTTTGGTTCGGGCCATCCTCGCGCACTTTGAGTGCGCTATCACATCTGCTACACAGATGCTGCTGGCACGCGAAGCAGACGGTGTTTGGCTGGGGTCCTTACCGTTCCTCTCCGCTGAACCCGCCAGGCGGGTAGCCTTGGGGGCGCTTCCGGGGCCAATGTGGTCGTCCAGCCGCCAGGTGAGGTGTGCCGTGGACCGGGGCTAAAGGGGTGACGTCAACGGAACCGGTGGCGCTAAGACAGGGTGTTCGCCCTTGGCACGCGCCCTGCCGCGCCCGCAAGGCCCGTATGACACCCTCCCTGTCCCGCCCCCCCTGCCTCCCGCGCCCCTCCAGCCCCCGCAGCGCAGCCTCCCCTGGTGTCCACGGACCCCAACCAGCGGCCCGGCACCCTGCCGCCCATCACCAGCCCCCACACAGCATCGCAGGTAGGGGGCCACGTGACACGGCCTGCAAGCCAGCATGGCACCCGGGGGCCCTGGGACGTGAGGGGGCGCAGCTGGGTTGCCAGAAGAGTCGGGACGCTGGCGGGTGCTGCCCGGGGAAATAGGCGCTGGGGGCGAATACTGCAACCCTCCATTGTTCCGTACGGCTCCAACGCGTATCCCCAGCTCAATGTATCACTAGCCGCTCACATGTCGCCCCTGCTGTGCGAACACCGGCGGTATGCTGCCCCCACCTGCTCCCCCCCCCGCGCAGCACACTCGCTACCCCTCCCCGCCTCCCGAGGTGGCTCAGGCGCAGGACGGCAGCCCCAACTCGCTGGCCGCCCTCATGGCGCTCATCGAGCCGGAGTTCAGGTACCGCATATTCAAGGTAGGGGCGGCGGGTAGGGGGGTGGTGCGGGTTGGGGGGCAGCGGGAGCACAGCGGCGCAAGGCAGCAGAGGCGGGGCACCTGGGTCAAACGGTGCCGCATGGCGGATCCAGCGCGAGCCGCGAGCTGGCGGGCCGCTGGCGAGCACACACGTGCAAAGGGGGGGATGGGCAGCCGCCCGGGAGGAGCGCTGCTGCATGGAGCCTCTTTGCGTACGCACTGGCACATGCACATGCATGCAGTGGCGAGCGATCCCGTCCACCGCTCTGGGTACCGCAGCTGCACGCTGTGCTGCCGGGCGGGCTGGGGTGCAGGACCACCCCTTGCGCCCCCCTTGCGGCACACATGGTGGGATGGAGCCCATGTCGGGCTTCGCCGCATCCCCGGGAAGGGGGGGCACGGCGGTGAGCGCGCTAGTGCGCTGACACCTACCCGCGGACCCCCTCACGGAGCGCTGCTAACCGCTCTCCTCCTCCACCTCCCGCCCACCCCTCACAATCACCCCCAGGGCACCGACGTGATCGAGTACTACGCGCGCTACGGGCACGACGCGCGCGTGAAGCTGTTCCACTGCCTGAAGACCAGTCCGCACGGCGCCAGCAGCCCCTACGACCTCACTGTGGTGGCCAAGGAGGCGCTGCCGCCGCCCCGACCCGGCAGCAGCTACTACACCATGTCGGCGTCGGGGGTGGTGCAGGTGGGGGGGTGGGCAGGGGTGTGCAGCTGGTTTGGGCGCGGCTGATCAGGTCCCATCTCGTTAGGGGCAAGAGGGTGTTGGGTGTGTCGGAGAACATGACGAGGAAGGGCTCCCTTTGAGGCCCCTGGGCCCGGCAGCAGGGCTAGCAGACCCACCGGCGCTTGCTGTGCGGGGTGTGCGCTCCACCCTCCTGCCGCATGCTGCCCTGCACTGCGGCTGCCCTGATCTTCCTGTTCCCTCCCAGATCTTCGCGGACGGGAGCCCCGCGGAGTACACCCCCATCGGCGAGTGGGTCCGTGAGACCTCGGTGTACAACATGATGAAGCAGCTCTCCTTCTTCAGAAACTACATGTCGCAGGTGGGGGGGGGGGGCTGTGATTGATAAGAGAAATGCCATGCGAGGGAGAGGTTGTTGCCAGGGAAATGGCATGTCGGGCCAGGTTGAGCCATGCCGAATGTGTAACAGGCCGTTTCACACCTACTCATCCATTACATGTCAACCGCCTGGCCGAGTTGCAGCATGCAGCGTCGTGCAGCGCACTAAGCACAAGTGCATGATGCGTGCCCTCTCCCCCCTGCCCTGCCTCCCTGCCCCCCCCCCTGCCCTGCTCCCCTGCCCCCAGCGCTACCTGCGCATCTGGCGCGGTGCCGCCCGCAGCAGCCACTTCGAGCGGCTGCGCGCCAAGATGGAGGGGCGCATGCTGCTGGCCAAACCCGACTTCTGCTTCACCATCATGGACGTCGGGGCCAAGGTGCGGGGCGACTTGGGGGGGGAAATTATATAAGTGAAACAACGAGTCCCAACAACGAGTCGGGGGGGGGGAGCGGGGCGGGTGAAGGGGGGGGTCCTGCATGGGCGTGTTGCACGGGGATGCCCCTCGCGAGGGGGCGTTGGACGCTTAGATGCTGGAAACGGGGTTGTACCAACCAGTGGCTCATCATGCTCATCCTCCCCTGCCCCCCCTTGCAGGTGTTCTCCATGCAGCAGGTGGAGCTGGCGGAGCTGCCCAAGGACGGCCCCGTGCCGCTGTCGGAGTTCCAGGCCATGCAGGAGGAGCTGCGGAAGTGAGGGAGGGGGGCGGAGAGAGGGGGGAGAGCCCTTGGGGGGCAGGGGAAACAAGGAGGGGAGGGGAAGGCGCGCGGCTGGCGCCTAGGGTTGCTTAGAAGTTGGGTCGCATGGGGACACCGGTGCGCGCAGGTAATCGGGGTTTCACACTCCCCCCCTCCCCCCCAGGAACAAGGCCAGCTACCAGCTGGGTAACATCCTGGTGGCTGTGGAGCGGTCGCTGCTGCGGCTGATTGGGGACGTGAAGAAGAACTGCGAGTGGCTGGTCAAGGAGGTCGCGGACCTGGAGCGGGAGACCAACCCCGTCATGGCGGCAGCGCACCCGCCGGGCACTGCGGGGAAGCCGGGGCGCAGCATACTCAAGGTGGGGGGTGGGTGGATGGGTGGGCTGGGGAGGGCGCAGGAGGGCTGGATGGCTTGCGCGCCTGTCCCTTGCACGCCCCCGTGGCATACAACAGTGGGATGTCGTGGTGTAAGAAGCAACCTTGAGAGTGCTTGACTGTGCTGCCAACCAGCGCTGTCGAGCGGGGGCACAGGAGATTGTCTGGCGGCTGATGCTGCTGCTGCGTTGGGAGCCACTCGCTCGGGCTGTGTTGTGTTGCGCCCTCCCCTCCCCACCCTCCCCGCCCACAGGCCAAGACGGAGAAGCTGGAGAAGAGCAAGGCGCTGCGGCAGGCGCAGCAGGTGGGGCTTGCGCACATAGCTGCATGCGGGCTGGGTGTGTGCCCGTGCGATTGACGTCTACTACGGA